ATATTCATTTTTTCTATTTTATAACGTAAATATAGGCGTTTTTAAAATATTTTCATATCTTTTATTTAGGTAATCGATTTATATCATGGACCCAATCAAAATTTGCCTAAAATGAGGATGAAAGTGGATGTTTTTCGACAATATCATTTGTTACGGTGGTACAGTATTAAGTTATTCTTAAAGTTGAGTGATACTGCCAGTTTTCTCCAGGTTTTGACTTCTTTTTTATTATTTAATATTTAATAGTTGGCTTTTTGTTTGTTGGATAAGAAGGCTAAATCATTGGATTATTTTTAAAATTACTTGTATTAATAAATCAAATTTATTTTCAGTCAGTTTTGGTTGAATTGGGTGGCGCAAAACAAGAACAAGAAATTATTGAAAAAATTAATGAACTACGGTTTGATATCAACCAATCATTATCATCATTATCACTCGCTCTTGGAATTAGTACGAATATTAAAAGTAAACCATTGATTTTGTTTAAATTTGTTTTTGCTAAACCATTTGTTTCTTTTTGAGAATAAATTCTTAAAATTTTATAAAAGAAATTTACTTACTTAAAAAACTTGCTTTGAACGGCAAATCTAAAATTTGTTTCATGTTTATAGCTGATAGACGATCAGTTTTTTTCTTTATGCGAAGTGTATTTTTGCTAATATTTTTTAAAATTCTTCATTAGCTGATTGTTTGTTGTTTTTTTATCTCAAATTTAATTTCTTATATTTTATTTTATATTTTATATTCTTATATTTGTCATGAATTCTTTTTAGCATCAGAAGAGAATATGAATAATATCGTAATCAGCTCAGAAGGTACTACTATTTCTTCAAAGGTTTGTTCTATTCAGCCTTTGTTTTACATTATTATTTATTTATAATTAAATATATATTTATTATTTAATTTATCGCATGATTTATGGGATATTTTCTTTTTTAAATTTATTATTTTTTGCAGGATGAAATTCTGCAAGAAAACGCATGCAAAAAAAATTATGAAATTGCAGCTGAACAAGGCAAAATCGAATTGCAAAACATTAAAAAATGTTTGTTTGAAAAAGAACTTTTACAATGCAAAGAAACGCTTAAAAACTTTGAGGACGAAAAAATTCGATTTATAGAAGAAATTTCATTACTGAAAGAGTTGAATGAGGTAAATTAGCTTTTCTGTTGACCATTGTTTTCTTAATTTATTCTACATTTTTTTCAGTGATAATTAAGAAATTTAATTTATTTAGTTTAGATTTAAAAAAAAAGTTAATGCCACTGCATAGTTAAAATACAATATTTTAGCTTAGAAACTGTTAAAAAAATATATATTTGAAGCAGATAGTTAGTTAAATAAATAATGAATTAACGGCTTCTTGAATTTGTAAAGGCATTTCTAAGTAAAATTTATCAAACATCAACGGATTGTATTTTATTATATTTATTATATTTTATGTTATGTTTATTTTATTTTATAATGCAAGAATTTAAAATTTGTGTTTAAACCATTATATTAAATCATATTGAATTTCTCTAATAAATACATCATTTGAATTTCGCAGCTGTCAACTTTGCAGAATTTCAGAAGCAAAAGTGTCATTTGCAATCCATAAATGAAGAATTGGTACAACGTGATAAAGAACTGCAATCATATAAAACGGTTATTTATTGTTCAATTAATAATTAATGTTGATTTTTTAAATCAATTTTAAAAAAATTATTTTATATGATTATTACAATGTTAATTTAACTGAAACCCATTTAGAAAATTGATGCTTTTGAGACCGAAACTAGCAATTTAAATATAACATTGCGAAGAATTCTTTTTGATTTGCCAAGAGGATTCATTGATCCTGAAAAAATTGGATATATCTTTGATGTCAATACCAGTTCAGCAAGCGTTCTTCATAAACAAGTGATTATTCCTAGTTTTTTAGAAATTTTTTTCCATTTACTTAATAATTAATAGATTTTTAAGTTTATTTTTTTTTTAGATCAGCATTGTCGTGAGTCTTTTTGCAAATTTTGAACAGGTAATCTATCGACTTCTTGATATTATTAAAAGGAGTGAAGACAAATTCAATGCAAAATGCGATTTACTTAATCAGAAATGGGAAACAGAGGTAAATTTTGCATATAATATATTGCTTTTTCATGTTTTATTAAGTCATATTTTTAGATTACTTGTCACTTTTTATTATCAGAATTTTTAGAATGAAGTTACAAATCGTGGAACTGCGGAAAGCGCAAAAGCTGAAAGGTCTCAATCTTCATCAAAGCAAGTACAAACTGAAATGGATGATAAATGCATTACCTTGTTCAAAAAACAGCGCGATTTGATAATTTTACTTGTTTGTGCATTATTCAGACTTCTTTTGAAACAAATTTTTAGTTTTTATTTATGAGAACTAAAGAATAATGCGATATCTGCTTTCTTAAATAAGTGTCGAACTAGATCGTTAATGATGTGACCTTGGCCACTGGCCATATTACTTTTAAATCATAACTGTTGAATTTCTTATAAATATTATAGAAGTATTGTAGTCATGACAATATTGACAAAAGCTATTTATCACTATAAGCTATATAAGCTATGTATCGAAGCTTGATGAAAATTTCATTGAATGAGGTTTCATGATTTGAATTTTTTGCATTTGAATCATTATAAGTTTTTTGCTGAAAAAATTTCAGTGTTATCGTCAATTTTTTACTATTGCTATTTTGCTATTTTTTTGCTATTTCTTTAATCTTTTATTTTTTAGAATTCTGCGAACGAAGAAAATTCAAAAAAACTAGAGAAACAAAACAGATACTTAAGTATTTACTACTTATTCATCGTGAATTTGTTCAAATTTGTTAACAAATGGGCAGGTCATAATATTGTCAACACAAAGTGAGTAATATTAAAATTTTTTTTTTCATCATTTATTAATACATTTTTGATAATTTTATAGAAATATATTCTCAAAAGCAGATCTCAAATGTGTTTTTCAACGGTTAATTCAAATTCGAAATTTATATGAAGGAAAAATTACAGAAATGACATTATTAATAAATAAAAATAATGGCTTACTGGAAAAAGTTGTTGCGGAACAAAAGTTCTTATTTTGCATTTCAAATTTTTGATTTTATATATTTATCATTTAAAAACTTTTCAATATTTTTAAATCGCAACCATCAAATTCCTATAAATATTGTAAAAAATAGTCATGAAAGTTAGCAAAAGCAGATCATATATCATGCATCAAAACCTGATGAAAATTTGTCTTCATTATTTTTACTTCAATTTTAAATATTCTTTATAATTTTATTCTGTTCGTTTCTAGAAATATTAAATCAAATTTACCCGATCAATCCAATTGCGATCATAACAAATCACCAAACTTTAATGATAATTCTCTCAGTGAAAATAACAAAGGTATTCCAGTAGTTCGAAATTTTTACAGCGTAAAAAATTTCTCTACTCATTTACTTACTTCTGTACTCATAGTATAAATTTTTCCAGAACCAAGTTCTACATTTTCTGTCAAGAATTTCGGAAAAATGTGTGAAAAAGCAAAATTCATTGTGCAACTTTTAGAAAAAATGGAACAGAGCCGTGAATTTAAGGTTAGATAAATGTATTTGATTTATTCATAGAAAAGCAATGCGCTTATCGTGAATTCTTGAATGATAGTGTAAGTGAATTGAAATTCTTTTTAAATTTATTTTCGAAACTTCTGAAAATTCTAAGATAATTTGCATTTTAGGTTGAAACTAATTTCAATTTTGAAAAATTTTGTTTATTTGCATGATTGAACCATTTTTCAAGGCTTTTTCATGATCTTAAATAAGGATTCACAAAGCAAATTACATTTGTTTATATTATTAATTAATATCAACAAGAAGAAAATAAATATCTAAAATTTCCCGAAAAGTTATTAGAAGTTATTAGAATTACAAGTGAATTCACTTCATTTGGATTTTTTAATGGCAGATTCTTACTTGTATTGGAAAAAATTGAGCCAGAATGCTCGATATGACAATCATAATCTAAGCAACAGCACTCGGTCATTCTGCTTTCGATGTTTACTGTATAAGAGATTAAGAAAGAAATTTTTAAAATATTGTTTTACTAAATTAAAAATACATACCGACTTAAAAAAAAATATTTTTCATTGAAAAATAAATCTTTTCAGAAAAAAATTTTAATGAGAAGACATAACATAACATCATTTTGCTGTCGCATATTTTTTTTGCATAGGCAAATGCATGGTCTAATACAGAAAAAAAGCAAGTAACATCACTGCATCATTTAGTTTCAACTTCGAAAAAAATTTCCCTCAGGAACTCGATGGTCTCTTTTGGTAGCCGCTAGGCGTGGCATTCATTTATGCATATTTTTAGATCGAATATATAAATAAAACTTTGAAAGTGGGTCGTCTTTTATTTTCACAGTTATTTCTTCTTTCGAAAAGCTCAAATAATTCGCAGAAAGAAAATATTGCAGCACTGAATACCGAGGTAAGTACCAATATTTTTTACTCTTCAAGAATTTTTTTTTTCTCCAATTATTCTGGTTAAAAGTCCATATTAACTATATGTAAAGTATATATATGTAAAGTTCATAACATCGCGCTACANAAAATATTTTTTTTTAAGTCGGTATGTATTTTTAATTTAGTAAAACAATATTTTAAAAATTTCTTTCTTAATCTCTTATACAGTAAACATCGAAAGCAGAATGACCGAGTGCTGTTGCTTAGATTATGATTGTCATATCGAGCATTCTGGCTCAATTTTTTCCAATACAAGTAAGAATCTGCCATTAAAAAATCCAAATGAAGTGAATTCACTTGTAATTCTAATAACTTCTAATAACTTTTCGGGAAATTTTAGATATTTATTTTCTTCTTGTTGATATTAATTAATAATATAAACAAATGTAATTTGCTTTGTGAATCCTTATTTAAGATCATGAAAAAGCCTTGAAAAATGGTTCAATCATGCAAATAAACAAAATTTTTCAAAATTGAAATTAGTTTCAACCTAAAATGCAAATTATCTTAGAATTTTCAGAAGTTTCGAAAATAAATTTAAAAAGAATTTCAATTCACTTACACTATCATTCAAGAATTCACGATAAGCGCATTGCTTTTCTATGAATAAATCAAATACATTTATCTAACCTTAAATTCACGGCTCTGTTCCATTTTTTCTAAAAGTTGCACAATGAATTTTGCTTTTTCACACATTTTTCCGAAATTCTTGACAGAAAATGTAGAACTTGGTTCTGGAAAAATTTATACTATGAGTACAGAAGTAAGTAAATGAGTAGAGAAATTTTTTACGCTGTAAAAATTTCGAACTACTGGAATACCTTTGTTATTTTCACTGAGAGAATTATCATTAAAGTTTGGTGATTTGTTATGATCGCAATTGGATTGATCGGGTAAATTTGATTTAATATTTCTAGAAACGAACAGAATAAAATTATAAAGAATATTTAAAATTGAAGTAAAAATAATGAAGACAAATTTTCATCAGGTTTTGATGCATGATATATGATCTGCTTTTGCTAACTTTCATGACTATTTTTTACAATATTTATAGGAATTTGATGGTTGCGATTTAAAAATATTGAAAAGTTTTTAAATGATAAATATATAAAATCAAAAATTTGAAATGCAAAATAAGAACTTTTGTTCCGCAACAACTTTTTCCAGTAAGCCATTATTTTTATTTATTAATAATGTCATTTCTGTAATTTTTCCTTCATATAAATTTCGAATTTGAATTAACCGTTGAAAAACACATTTGAGATCTGCTTTTGAGAATATATTTCTATAAAATTATCAAAAATGTATTAATAAATGATGAAAAAAAAAATTTTAATATTACTCACTTTGTGTTGACAATATTATGACCTGCCCATTTGTTAACAAATTTGAACAAATTCACGATGAATAAGTAGTAAATA